TATCTGAATTTCACAGCTTTATCTGTATTCTTGAATGAAAATTCCATCTTAACCTGAGCCAGTATAATACTTATAAGATATAAGTAATATACACTGTTAACCTTCTTGAAGACATCTCTATGACTACTTGAATTATCAAGAAGAGAGAGCTTGAGTATACTGATACTGCAATGACTTGAGAAGAATTCAAGAACTTTCTACTGAATTAAATTGAAGATTACTGTAATCACAGCTTCACAGTGATACAGTGATTCAATTTATTATATTAATAAGATAATAAGAATTCTTTCAATTTCAATATAAGATTTGAAGAATATTGAGAGAAATTGACTGATGATTTGAATTAATTAAAAACACAGCTTTATCTTACAAAGCTGACTTACAAGGTGTGAATAATAATATTATAATATTAGAGTTTATTAATCAATTGCACTGAGCTTGTCAATCTGACTTTCTGAATCTATTTAAATAATCAATTCTTTAAGAAAAAGATCTACAAGATCTCTTCTAAGTAATCAATGACAGAATCTAAACAGCACTGTGACAGCTTCAGTGTAGAGAAAGTAAAGAAGAATTTTAAGTGTTCTAATTCTTCACTCACTGTAAAGAAATATTACAAAAGATTTGATAAAGATCTCTATTTTAACTGCAGAGCTGATAATCACTATGTCAGTAATTATAAGAAGCTGAAGAAGAGAAGAAATTAAGAAGATATCTTCTCAAAGTTGACTTTTCTTCTGACAAATGTATTCACAGAAGATAAAGAAGAGAAAGAAATGAAGAATTAATAATTCTCATATCTCTGAGTTCATGTTATAATTACAATGCATACTCTGAAAGAAGAGATATTAGTGAGATGTCTACTTGACTTCAGAGTGAATACTAACTTCATATTCTATTTCTTTTCTTTGATGAAGAATTGAAAGACATCAGACAAAAACCGCTCCACCACGAACTCGCTCGATTTTTCGAATAAGAACCCGCCGATAGATCCATCAAAAAGCCCTCGATCATACGAGCATTTTGACCCCATCGCCGACCGCATACCCCGTGTGGTGGTGGAGTTATCCAGCCAAACGTGAACCAGACGTCGTTCGGAACTCCTGCGTGGGATTATCCCCCATTCTCCCCTACCACACCACAACCCCGGGCCAAATTGCCATACAAATTGTAAGGTGAAGAGACCTAGCCGTATGCACCAATCTTCTCGATTTTGGAAGATCCCCAATCTGTAGTTGTGGAGATATCTGAGGAGCGACCTCCGCGAAAACCCTGTCCATCTTTGATGTTCCAAAACACCAACGCCAAGTCCCACCCTCGTACCGCCCTTCCCAATCTGGCCCATCCCCGGCAGAAAAATACAAAAAGATACCTCGGCGATAATATCAAGCACATAATCAATGAACAATGAGTCAACAGCACATCAACAACTATAAAATCAGTATACTCCAAGATCTGACTGAGCCTTTGATCCCTGCACAGTGAGATATATTAAATCTAGTTTTAATATCTCAATATTCAATAGATTCTGCAAGGGATTGAGAACAGCAACACTAGATTTCTATTGAATTTGAGAATTAACTCTATATTGATATAATCATTGACAAAGTCTTCTATTTTGAGATATAAATAACCAGTTCCTCTACATCCTGCTGACAATATTTACATTATCATACAGAAACAGACTTATATTCTCTATAATATCAAGACTCTGAAGAGGGAAAGTCTTGATAGAGAGTATACAGTAGTGCATATCTAGACTGGCCGGCGGGACCATGAATTTCACATTTGGTCCCATTTGGTCTGGTCCCATACATTTCTTGGCGTGAGTCCCACCAGGACCAAGCCTCAAAAAAATCTGAAAATGGACCATTTCTGAGAGAAATGGCGTGAAAAATGACCAGATTTAATTCAAGAACAGTGAAATGGGAGTAATTTTCCAGGATAAACTGTGAAAGATGATCATTGTTTCAAAATCAGAATGAGACTGGGACTGAAGATCAAAATCAGTCCCATTCAGTTCATTCAGTGATTGCTTATATAATCAGAATTTGATAATGATTATTGATAACGCTCATGAAACAACTAAATACATTCTTGTGCAAGTTTATCCTTCACTTTCTCATGAAAACTACACTTCTCTGATATACTGTGATCAGAGGTATTAAACTGTCTGATAATTCCATGTTTTACAATCATGAGTTTCTTGATTGTTTCTTCTTGTAATTGTCCCTGATGATAGTGATAAATATCTCAACTTGAGTTGAACTTTCACTTCATTCCCATCCCTGTCAATGAAATTGTCAGAATATCACACATCATCAGTGCAACAGTTGAATATGTACTCTCAACAATTTTTCATAACTCTAGAATTGATTTGGCGTGTAAATTTGTCAGATCATCTTGAAGATAGTGATCAAATTCAGTTTTACAAGCATGTAGTTTTGCCTGATTTTCAGTTGCAATCAATGTATGCAAGTTCTGTTTCAAAGTTAGTATTATAGTTCTATGTGATATGAAGCATTATCAAAGATTGTTACTTACTAGGGAATTGTATTCCACTGTCTCCACATCTTGAACATCTGCTCATTCAAATCTCTGATAGTTGGCATTGTAGTAGTCTCAGACTAATTTGACATATGAGTCTCATTTCTTCTCTGTTCAATCTTGAGAAGTGTAGATGTTAACTTGATGAGAGGGATCTAGTAGAGCTGCTATAGCATAGTACTCTGCAAAAGGTTGTTTCATTTTGCTGTAGTAATATACCAGTTTATTCCTTGCAGTAACAATAGCCTGTGCTATAGCATTATCCCAGACTGAATTTCTTTTTGAGTGATTCAACTGCTTCTCAAGATGAGTAAATAAACTGTTATACACTCACCAGGCTGACTGCAGCATTGGTGTACAAGTGATTGAGACTGTCTTTGTTATCTTATAAAACTGAAACAGTAAATCAATCACATATTTCAACTGAGTTCACTTCATATCAGAAAGTTTCAATATCTGAATCTTTTCCTGATCAGAGTGTTGCACTCAATGATCAATTATCTGATGCAATCAAAGAGTCTGAACAGTTATCTCATATGTTGAACTTCACTGTGTTCTAACATCCTGTATCATATTCAGTGATGTGACTGATTTATTTGTTTATTGAATATCATGGAATTGTTGTTATTATTTAGAAGAGGTACAAATTGTATTAGCAATGTTTCAAATCTATGATATTTAAATTATTAGTCAATCTATTCAAAATTAACAGTAGTGTTATCAAAAAGCATTATCAAAAAGCAATATCAAAAAGTGTTGTCAAAAAACATTATCTTTTGCAAAGTGAATGCAAAAGTTACTTGAGTAATCACTTTCATCTCATTCTCATCTCAAGAACCAGCCATCTCATTATTCTTTGCCTCAATGTTAAGATTCTTTATCAGTGTTTACACCACAAGTTGAACCACATGAGCAATGCAGGGGATATGACCTTGTTTACTATTTCAGGAATGCAAAGCCAATTTTTGCTTCAAGCTCTTCACTATAGTGTAGTTATTCACAGCATTGTCAGTTGTAATTACAAGAAGACTGAGACTAATATCTTAATAGTCATTTTTAATCACAGTCATTAATATCTCTGTCATATAATCCTCAGTATGACTACTGATCAATGATTCAAATCCAATTAATGTCTCTTAATAAGTTCAGTTCTCATCAATGTAATAATATATAACTTCTATAAATGCAAGATTGTTTATACTAGTTCATGCATTCACTGTGAGAGACACTCTTCAATGATTCTTCAACTCTGATCCTAGATGTTGCATATTGACTTTGTAGTGTGTCTTGAGGTTGGACTGAAGACAGGATTGATGTGGAATATGAAGATTTGAATTAAGCATTTGAAGAAGTGTTTGGAATTCAGGGTTTTCAATTGATTGAAGAGAAAGATTCAGAGATATACATATGTGAAGTAATTGTTCATGGAAGTTATCAGGTGAGAGTTGTGGAATCAGAGTACTGGTACAGGGTCGTTTTCACATGATTTTCTTCAAATTAGAAAGTTAGTGTTATCAAAAATCATTACCTGGTAGAGCAACTTATCAGCTCAGTAGTAATTTTCTGATTATTTTCCTTTTATTGTCTGCATTCTGATGACTTCAGATGTTGAGAAATTTCTTCAGGGCCATGACCAGTTCATGATGAATGTTTCTGAATGAAGTTGCAGTGATTGTAGCAAAGAGATGACTCTTCAGTAATCTGCAATGCAACCTGTTGATAATTATTCCATAGTTCATCTCAATATTTGTGTTGAGTTTTTCATAAATTTCGTGGCCTGGAATCAGATGTGAAGAATGAAGTGGTTATTCACTATGATTGAAAGAGAGCATTCTGTGTTGAATTGTAAACAATGTAGACTTTGTAATTCACAGTGATTTCTTGAAGAGTTTGTGGATCTTCAATAGAAGTAAAAGAAGTGAAAGAAGTGGATTCAGAAGACATGATAATAATTTGAGAAAGATGACAATTTATTTTCAATAACTGATCACTGATGTGTGTAAGAAGAATTAATATAAGAGAAAATAATCTTGTTTCTTAGCTTAGTTATAATTTTAGTACTAACTCAGATTGAATATCATTGATGTATAAAAGTAAATAAACAATCTTGATTAATCTCTGTCATATTTCTTGAAATATATTAATATTGTAAAAGAGAGTGTTATCAAATTGTGTTATCAGATGATATTATTAAAAATATATTAATATTATGAATATCAATGTTGAAAAAATGTTGATACTTATACATTATAGTGATTTGTGAATCATGATAGTTAAATATATATATATATATATATCATTCCTGACTTGATTACAACTTGTACAATAATTTTTGAAAACTCAAAATCAATTTTAATTATTAATAATTAAAAACTTAAACTTACAACTAACTAATATAAAAAGAAAAAAATCTACTTCTTCTCTTTCTCATTCTTCTTATCATTCTTCATAATTCACTTCTCATTCTTCTTCTTCTTCTTCTTCTTCTTCTTCTCCTTCTCCTCATCTGAGGTGATAATCACCTCAAAATCTCTCTTCACTGCCTTCTCAGAGAAGGGTTTTCACTGCTTCCTCTCAGCCAGGTCAACCTGCACCTCAAAATCCTGCATTTCCTGGTCTGCTGCCTCAGGTTCCACCCCAGTGGCAAGCAGATTGGCATACTCAGAGAGCAGGGCTGTCTTCTCAATGTCCTGAATCATGGAGCGCATTCAAGACCTGAACAAGGCCTCAATCCCCTCCTCCTCTGCCAGCTCCTGCTAATCAATTAGAGAACAGAAGTGTTATCAAAAATTGTTATCTCTTAATAAAAACTTACCAGTTTTGGCTTCTTTATCTCCTACTTCAATATCTTCTCAATCTCCTTCTGCTACTGCTTATTTACAGCAACACTCTTCTTCTCTCTCTCTCTCTTCATCTTGGTCTTAAATCATTCTCAGGACTTCTTCTGATCCCACTGCTACTGCATGAGACTCTTCACTGTCTTCTTTTTCAATCTCTCACAGGCAGTGCCATCTGCATTATTCCTATACTTAGTTCAGTCTAAATCTATCAGAAGCATTACTTAAAATCATTATCATTCTGCTCTCTTGCAGAGTCTCTTCAAGGCATTATAACATGCCTTGCAATCTGTCTCCCCGCGCTTGAATGCCTTCTTCTTCTCTTCCTTCAATCTGTGACAGCGCTCACGCGCCTTGGTGGTCCGCAGGACCGCAGAATATTTGAAGGGGGATGACATGATTGGTTTTGATGAGCGTTGAAGAGGGATGGAGGCAGGCAATGATATAATGGTGATGGTGATGATGATGATGATGATGGTAATGATGATGATGATGATGATGATGATGATGATGATGATGATGATGATGATGATGATGATGATGATGATGGTGATGATGATGGAAGAAGGAGTGCATCGGAATATATTATTGACTTATCAAACATAAAGAGACAAAGAAACTATTAACAGCTTTCAGAGATGTACAGAAACAGCTACAGTGTTATGTAGCAACATTATCTTCATTCAATGCATGCACTATTGATATTCTTTGTATGCATTTATCATATAATCTATATCAGAGATACATGCAGAAAACAGATCTTTGTTGTTAGAAAGAATGATTGCAGTAATTCTCTGTTTTCATATTATAAAGATAAGTTATTCTCATTTCTTTCTTCTCTCTTTTCTCTTCTTCTTCAACCCATTACTAAGTTCAAGCTGGTATGAAAACTATTAAAACACTCATAGAAACCCTCAAATTGAAGAGTATAAACTAATCAAATTTTAAATACAGATGAACCAAAATAATTCAACAATACTAATTATTCATTCCCCCCTCAATAAAACAACAGTTGTGTCTTTCCTCTCCCTCCCAAATGAAACATGGCTCGCGAAAAGCGAGTATCACGCCAGGTCATAATGGCCAACACAGCCCCAGCACGCAGGGCTGCATACACGCAGCATGTGCTGGACTGGAAGACTGCGTGGGTTGCAAACTGATGGCAGCATCCCAGGGAGAGCTGTGCAGCGTGGGAAAGCTGCAATCCTCAGCCATGTGCACAGAGAGTGGATCACCGCAGTAAGTGCATGTGCATTGCATGAAAGTAACACTTTTTGATAATACTCAGTCTCTGATATCATGAAAATAGAGTCTCTCTGTGAGATCTGTTTTTATCAGAAGTTGAGGAATCTTATATTCCTCAAGACCATCTTCACACGCCTTGTCCATGAAATTGATGAGAGAAATCATTGATTCCAGTGTTCTGCTCTTGATGTCATTCAAGTGGCAGCAGAGTCCACTCTGATCACACTTTTTAAGTGTATGTTTTCTAATTATTCACATTTATACAGATATATACTGATTATTTGTTAAATGATGTTAAGACAATGACTCATTGCAGCTGTGTTATTCTCACTGTGAGAGATACATGATTGATGATGAACATTGTGAAGACTCTGAGAAGTGAGTATTTTGAGAATGCTGCAGCTCTGTGATCTTGATTTTTTTTGTTTTTATTTTTTGTTTTTTTCTTTTCCTTTTCTTTTTTTTTTTTTTTAATGTGATTTTTTCTTGTATTTGTTTTGTTTTTTGTTTTTTGTTTTTTTTTGTATTTTATGTTTTTTTCATAATTAAAATTATATGAATTATGATCTGTGTTCAGAAAAGTAACAATATTTGGTAATACTCTCTGTTGAATTTTCAACAAATGAGCACTATGTTATGATATTATGTAAGTGAGAAGTGATTTCATGATCTCATTTAGTGCCATTCTCAATAATGAGATCAGAATGAAAATGTGACTAAGAATTCAAACATATTCTTTATCTGGGACTAGATTTTTATTTGAAAAGTGAATCTGGGACCTTTAATATTTGAAATAACATGATTTGGGATCAATGTGATGAATACAAACCATGATCAGAAGTAATGCTTTTAGGCAATGTGACAACTGTAAAGTTTGGTCCTGGTCCCAGACACGGTCACACGGTCAGTCTATGCATATCTAGACTGACCGTGTGACCGTGTCTGAGACCAGGACCAGATTTTTTGATAGTCTCATTACCAATTCGACTGATTCCATTACACGGTTTTAACATTATATAGTGGTCTCATACTGTCCCAGTGAAACTTACTGTCTACTCTTGTCACATTTTTCAAATGAGACCATGATTTCCACTTCTCAATTTAAATTATTTTTATTGCTTTAAATGACTTTAAATCTCATTTGAGTGTTACCAAAAAGTGTTACTTTTTAAAAAATTAAAAATAGTCTAAAAAAAACCTTAAAATGTCTAAAAATAGTAACTTTATGATGTCTAAAAATAGTAACTTTATGCTAAGAATGAGACTAAATGAAATCAAATGGAATCACTTTCTCATTTTTTTCAAGTCATGGTTCCATTTTAAGATCTGATATATAGTCACTTTATATGTTTTTTTGATAGCCAGTCCCAGCGGGATTCACGCCAAGAAATGTATGAGATCAGACCAAATGAGATCAAATGTGAAATTCATGGTCCTGATGATCAGTCTATACATATCTTGACAGTTTCTATCTCATTCTTCTGCAGCAGTTAATGCAAAAAAAAAAAGATCTTAGAAATAGTTTTTTACTTCTCTTGAAAAAGTAAGGTGTTTTTCTCTGGATTTTACACAATATTCTTACAAAGAATTAAAAACAGAGTTGTTTTCTATCATAATTTCATATTCTTTTAAGTAAGAATTACTTTTTCAGTGACTGAAAAGCTTTCATTAATACTTAATTCTTTTTTACACTCTTTATTAACTGACTTGAGTTGCACACTTGTTGTGTGAGGAGAATTGAATAATTTAGAATAAAATTGAATAGTTTTAATCAATTTCTCTGCAAAAAATTGATTTATTTTTTATCAGTTTTTCTCTCAAAAACTGTCATATTATCTGATTTACTATCAATTGATATCATACTTTTCCTCACTGTATTTCAAGAAAGAGATTGTAAAGATTTTATTGATTTATCTTAAAAATCAATTTTAGTTTATTAGATTCTCTTCAAAAATCTAACCTAGTTACTGAACTAGTGTGAAAAAAATCAGGTGTTTTATACACAAAAGTCTGCTATTCTTCTTTTGAAATAATCTGACCAACTTTTCAATTGAAAACAGACTTAGAAACCTCTTAATTGAAACAGTCTGATCAACTTTTGAATTCAAAAGAGTTTAATAAATATCTCAATTGAATTAGTCTGATCAACTTTTCATTGAGTAAGAACAATGAGTTCAAAAGTACACTCAGTTGATGTGAAAAAAGATGCTTTCTCAAATACTATTCCTGAGATTGAAATTCTGAAGAGAAGAAAGAAAGAAGAAATAGAGAAATAACAAGTTCTTGAAATACAGAAACTTGAAAAAGCAAGTAAAATTCTTGAAAAGCAGTGTCTGAGTGAGATGAATGAAGAAGTTCTGTTAATTCTTCATACTCAGACTAGACAACTACAGGAAGTGATCAAGTTCAAACTTGGAAATTCAAACACAGTTCAAAAAACTTTGAAAATTTCTAATACAATCACTGACTCTTCAGTTTACTCTTCTTTCTTTTCTACTTCTTCTTCTTCTTCTTCTTTAAATCAGAAGAAAACATATACTCAAGCAGCTGAATCTGCTATCTCTAAACCTGCTATCTCTAAATCTGCTATCTCAAAACCTGCTCAAAATTCTGAGAAAACTGAGAAGAATACTGCTCATACTTCTAGTGATAGAAGAGTGGAGAAAAAAATGCAAAAAGAGAAAAATCTTCAAATCTTCAGAAATAGAAGACTTATTCTCAAAGTCTCAAATCAGAATATATTGCAGAGAAATAAGCTAAACTCAAACCTCATTTTCAGAATTAGAAATGAAATCAATCAGCAGTTCTTTTCTCAGTTAATGACTAATATTGAAGTTCAAAAACCAGTTATAGCTTCAATTGAGTCATTCTTCTTCAGAAACTTCATCATTCTGACTACAATGTCTGAATTCAGTGCTGAATTTCTTATTCAGAATGAGAATCTCTGAAAATCAGCAGTAGAATCTTTGTTAAACATAATAATTCTATCTAAGAGAGATAAAAAGTGAGACAAATTCATTCTTCATGATATTCCAGTTGAAATTTTGACTGTGAAGAAGAAATGCTACTTCTCAAAAATGAATTAGAAGAATACAACTCTACTCAACTGAGAAAGAAGCCTGTATAACTAAATTCAATTGAGTTCAGATAAAGCAGAAGAAATACCTCTGTTCTAGTATATACAAAGATAATGAAACAGTTAAAGATCTCTGAAGTAAGAGTAGCAGGTTTGAAAATGAGAGTTTATGAATACAAAGACTCAAGAATGAATCTCAAAGCTCAAACACAGTGTTCAAACTGTTAAAGATATGAATACTTTACAATCTTCTGTTGCAGAGACTCAAAATGTGTATTCTGTGCCAGAGATCACAAAACTAGTGAGCATAAATGTGAAATATGCTTAAAAAGAGATGAAATATGTTAACACACTCTGCTTAAATGCTCTAATTGTAAAGAAAAACATGCATCTAGCTCAAAAGAATGTATGTTTACTTCAAGAACTCAAAAGAACTGAAGAAAAGATGAAGCTCAGAGTAAACCTAGAACTGAAGAGAATAGTCAAGTCAGTAAACTCATAACTGTAAGCTTAAAAAGAAGAAACTCTCAACTGTCTAAGTCTTCAAACTTCAATTCTTCAGCTAAATGTAAACAGAATTTGAATTCTCAAACTTCTGTTAAGATTAGAGAATTGAGAAATGACTCTGATGATAAACTAGATATAATACAAGCAGTTGAGATTTCTACTTTTCAGAACAGTTATAATCTACTATCTGATGATAGTGATTAGATTCTACTCTACTCTCTTTTAGTATGAATATACAATAAAAATAATAAAAAAAGTTTAAAAACTCTTCAAAAATCACATTTATTCAAAATAATGTGAATAGAAACTTAAATTGTATTTATTCTTGTCTTCAAATTGCATTTGAATAAAAAGTTGATTTTATACTGCTTCAGGAGCTGAATTTTGATGCTGAGTAAAAATATATCATTTCTCATTCAAGCTACTACTGCTTTTTATCTCAAAAGTCTGAGATAAAGTCAAGAGTAGTAATCTATGGAAGAAAGAGATCAAGATATCAATTTAATCTAAGATTTGATATCATGTCTGACTCTGATATTCTGGTGAGTGACATTATAGATAAAGAAAATG